TATGTCACACAAATAGCATCAGATATATTTGTTTTGATTTATTGAAGAACTAAGTAGGTAAAAAATGGTTTCTCCAATAAGCAATATGGTGAATCAGGTGAGTAGATGGATACACTTGCATAGTTATACTTGTTTTGTTTGTCTTAATCAAAAAGGGGTTTTAAATTGAACATGTTGCTTATTTGACAAGTGAGTGTAAAACCTTATGGAATAATAAATTAAGGTTTGCCATGACTTAATTTTCTACTATGTAAAACCTTAGCTATTGAAACTCTTAGAAACAGGTTTCCAAGTAAAGGTCATATGCAACAGTTTCAAAGGAGAGAAGAAAGAAGAACAAGTGATCTAGTTGTAAATTTTTTATTTCTAATTACAAATATGTGACTAAAATCAACTATACATTGAAAACAACTACTTTAAACTAAGCTTAAGAAAATAAGTGTATCACACATTATCATAATTCGTAAGCAACCTTCATTAATTTATTTTAAAGAAAGAGAGAACTCTCTTACCATGAATCAACACACAATACTTCTTGCACTCATCATGACATAGTATGCTTCCGCAACAACTTCCAAATCCTACAAAGTGTATGAAATTATACATCAACTATTAATTTAAATTTAGAAATCCAACACTAGTAAAAATAACTGATGAAATGGTGAAGAAAGAAATATTAAAACGTCAAAAATAAATTATTCAACACTATCTAGGTAAGTAATTAAGTTTCATCTAGATTGTCCATCTCCCTTTTGCAAATTCACTAAATAACCTTTGTGTTTTCAAGAATAGACACATTATATTCCTGATATGTCATATAAAACTAAGAAGCGGGAAGGGGGGATAGGGGGGAATAGAAATTTTACTAAGATAACAGATTGAATCTTGACATCTAGAATAAAGCTGTAAAACACTCAAATAATATTAACTAGACAAATCACTTTATCTATAGCACCAAGTAAATCTTGTTTGTCTAAATGATTCATTGGTTATTAAACACTAAGGCCAAGTCCAAGATATCATATACTTGCATCTACAATTGACGCAAATACGCACAAAAAAATATTATAATTGGAGTTGTAAATAATATTTCATATATTAAAATTCTCATAGGAATAACCAATACCATATGGTGTATGTGCCAAAATACAAACAAGATACATTATGAGGAATCATGGACACATCTAAAGCCTTAAGAGCCTTTTGCATCTAGACCACATTGTTATGTCAAAATTTGTTTTACATTAGATTATGAATCAAAAGTGCCGTATGAAGTTCAAAATCATTATATAGAGTCTAATATCGATAAAATTTAACATAATCAATTCATAAACACTAATATGAAATTTCTTAAATTTAAGATTAGCAATATAAAATATTGGGATGGAAAAACAAGTCTTTCGTTAAGAGATCGGGAGCATCTGGATATCTCCACCTCTAATTTATCTAAAAAAAACAAAAATACATCAGAGAGGAGGAAACAAATAGAAGAAAATAAAGAAACGAAGCAGAAGGAGCTTACAAGGATGTCTTCCAAAACACTCAAGACTTGGTACCTCTATCAAAACCATCTTCGAATCCACTGAATCCACCGGAAGATACCTCTACAAAATGAAAAATAAGGTCAAATATTGATAGAATTTGAAGGAAAGGATGATGTAAATGGAGGTAGCTAATTACTTATGTGAGCGGAGAAAGCATAGAGAATATAACAGAGGTAGGTGTCAATCATGCACAATGAAAAGAAACGAAAAATCATCGCAGTGTTAGCTTCTTGAGATGGAGGAGGAGATAAGGAACAGAGAAAGGCTGGGAATAGAGTAAGTGGATAAGAAAGAAACCCTACTTTGTAAGAAAATTTCATAAAGCCCTAGCCGATTCTCTTAATGGACTAGGCCTGGAGATTTTTTGTTTAGCCTTTTGTTTATTTCATTTGGGCTTCTTTGTTCGATTTTGTACATACATTTTTTTAATAAATGGGTTTTAAGCTCTATCAAATTTATTTAAAAAACATAAACAAATAAATTAAATTATATATAGAAATTTTAAATAAGAGTAGTGTCATATAACACCAACGATTCAATATATAATGTAGATACACCTTATAAAAAAATAATATCACAATAAAATTGCACTAATCAAGTGCATTATGATATTTTCTATAACATGTATAGAAAACAAATGTAGGAACTCATGTAACACCTTACAAATCTACTTTTAGAATATGCATCATTCGACATATGTATATGAGTTTGAGCCGTATGATGTCCTACTTGCTCATGTGTTTTAAGGTCTTTTACCAAGTGTATCAGATGTTATTTAGGGTCATAAAGGACCTGTAACATCAAGCCATGTTCAAAGCATTTCTATCAAGTAAGTTTTCACACGAGTACATATAAGGGTAAACTTCAAACGACCATATCTCTTAGAATATGAAGATTTAGGAGAGAAATAACCTACCAAATTAAATTTCTATGAGTCTTCTTTCCAACGCTGTCAAGTTTGCATCAATCCAAATTTAGTAAACAAGTATGACTGATTAAAGAGAGACACTCTAACCTGGCAGAAGCTATGTGATGGCTCCGTGACACATAGTGAATACGTATCTCGTTGTCTGTTGAAAAAATAAAAACCCTCTTATTCACTCCTAAATTTCTTCTCTCCAAAATTTCAAGAAATACCAAGGCTAGGGTTCATCTTTTAAGAGTTTTCTTCAAGATTCATCACTAAGAAATGTAACACTTCTATAATAGTATTTCTTTCGCTCTCATGCCTAAATTATTTTGATTATATAAGGAATTATGTTTAAATCTAGGGTTTTATCCAATATTCTTCAAGGTATGATTCTTATGCAAATGTTAGAGTTTTTATCAAAGATTTCTAAAGCATATTAATGAGCTAGTTCTTGGAACATGCTTTGCACGCTTATCCCAAAAACTTAATCGTCTAAGATATCATAAATGATAAGTTTGGTACAATATATGATAGGACTTTGTTTGTGCTATGAACTAAAAATAACATACAAAAAGAATAAAAACCTAGTTTTCAATTATCTTACAACAACATATATACACAATGATTTCATGATGATGCTAAAATTTTGTACTAAGTTATCTAACATTATGAAAACATTTGATTCCCTGATGTCCTTACGTTCTCATCTGCATAAATGAATGGTCTCTTTTTTTCTTTTATCTCTTTTCACCTTAACATGAAGCACTTGTTTGAACCATAAGTTTTTATATTTATAGTAGTAAATAATGACTTTTTTTATATATTTGATAATTGTAATTTTAATTTAGGTAAGGCGCATTAATAAAATACTGAATGCAACTTATAAATTCCTCTCCTTTAATGATGAATTTGTTTTGAATGATTTAGGACTTGAATACAAAAAAATGCATGCGTGTCAAAATTATTGTATTATTTATAGAAATATTATGAGTTCTGCAAAGCTTCAAGATACAAACAGTTTAAAGGTGAATCAATGGCAGTACTTCAGAAACTTCAAAAATTCTAGAAAAAGTGTTCAAATATTTTTCATTGATACCATGATTTCAAAGACTATATATGTCAACTAAAACATCTACCCAAAAGAGTTGGCATGCTTAAGGTCACACTAAATATGGGGTAACGCATCATCCTGTTGACAATATTGTTTGGAGGAATTTTGATGAAACACATGTACATTTAGCTAAAGACAGTTTGAATGTTATACTTGGCTTGGCTTCAGATGATTTTCCTTTCAAGTCTATATCTATCTCACTACAAAAAACCCTTGAATTGCCAACAAAATTATCCGTTGCTAAATTGATTAAATTGGTTGGCAAATGATTTTTCCAACCGAATGCCAACTAATGTTAATCTGTTGCTAAAAAGCTTGTCACTAAATTTTACCAACCCATTTCAGTTAGTTGGTAAAATTACCAACTAAAGATCAGTTGGTAAACACATAAAAGACTCGTTGGTAATTGTTGAAAAGTGGCCTTAGAATTTTCGTTGGTAAATTCACCAACCAATTTTCGGTTGGCATATTGTTGGGAAGTTTACTAACGAAGAAAAAAGAGTTAGTAAATTTGGTTTTTCACTATTCAATTATGTTAGTGATATGTTGGCAAATATACTAAAATAAAATAAAATGTTGTTAGTATTTGGTTAGCAAGTATATGACAGATAACAACTTGGTTGGTAAGCTCGATAGTAAATTCACCAAAATACATTGGTAATCAGTTTGTAATTTCGATTAAGAAAAAAATGTGTTGGTATTTCGTTGGTAAATTACCAACGAATTTTAAATCTATAACTAAGAATGACTATCTACTCATGTAACTTATGTTACTAATTGGTTAGTATTTTAGAAACACAAAAAGCTCATTAGTAATTCGTTAGGAAGCTTACTAACTTATTGTGATTTTGTTGGTAATATATATTATTTATGGTCAATATTCGGTTAGTGAATCGGTAATGTATATTGCCATATTACTAACTAAATGGTAATTCGATAGTAAAGTTTCACTTTATATATTTATATTAATCAATAGCTTTTATGAATCTTAAAAAGTCTGAAAACATAATAAAATTCAGTGATCCTTTGATAAATTATAACTTGACTAAAACAATGCAAAAGCTAAGATGAAGAGTTCAAAACAAATCCAAATACATAAACAATGAAAGATATGTGTACAATAGTTTGGAAATTTTAAATGACTCATATCATCATTTGATGATGGGTCATGTCTAAGCTAATGTGGTGTACCAGTTGGAGGTGTACCAGCGGGTGGTTTAGGTAGCCCAGCTTTGAGGATGGGCAAACGTTCTTGGAGAATCTTATCAACTTGCTCTTGCATTTCTAGCTGCATTTCATGTTTCATTTCTTCATGCAATTCATGTCGTATCTCTTCTCTCATCTCTTCTCTCATCTCATGTTTCATCTCCTCCTTCATTTCTTGAACGTATTCCTTCACTCGACCATCAAAACTACAATCTTGAGGTTGAGAAGTTCAAGCAGATGATGAGCCAACGTTCTCATAAAAAACAGTTTGAGAACCAAGACCATATATACATGCCTTCTTAACCCTACCCACTTCATCCATGTAAATCTTTGAAAAATCTACTGTCGGAGACTTGCCAGATTCATCTACAAGCTGAGATGCAGATGTGATCTTAAATATTACAGCATCCTAAAAAATAAATAAATGATATTATGTTAAGAAAAAATGTCTAGCGATTATAAATATACAAGACAAATGATATCAGTCGACCATCTTTGTCATTGACAATGCCTCCACCACACTTATCATTTCTACAGCTGCAATTAACATTTATTTTGACATACGCACCTGTAGTTCATATTCAGTGTACAAAAATAGTCTTTTAGGGACTAAGTTTTTTTTTTTTTCAGAACTGAAAAGATAGCATTTCATATTAGTTAGTAAAGCTATGATAGTTCAAAATCATACAACTAAACATGCTAAGAACTTTTGAAAGGAAGGATATAGAGGATCACCAAACAAAAGTACAAACCTACCAAACCAAGCTATTCTATGCAAATCTATGCTTTTTAAATGTAATGTAATTCACATGGCCTAAACACGAGGAAGCCTAACATATAGGCTTCAAAAGAACCACAAACTTAGTAAACCTCTAATGTGTTGTCTTTTAATAAGATTACAGAATTGGTCTTAAAGTTGGAAAGTAAACCTCATCATTCACTTTTTAATTGGTTTTGTGGCTGTGAGAAAAATTCTTTGGCATTCTTTGCCACATCTACCTCTAGTATTGGTTCTAAGACAATGTCACAACCTTTTTCTCCAGCCATACGTTTTGGCAACAATCCTGCACTTTCAGCAGAGACAGGAAGTACAACAATACTGTCAGATTCATCGGTCAAGGAGGGGACGTACACTTACTCTAAAACAGCAAACTACTCTAACAAGAACCAAGCTTACAACTCAAAACTACTCTATCAAGAACCAATCTTTCAACTCTTGAGGTCATACAAACCGAAAATGTTACATTTTAGAAGAGTCTTATGGGTTCTGCAGCTCCTACGCTACCAGCAGTAGACATATCAATTATGAGAAGGGGACCTACACTAGCTCTAGAACAACAAACTACTCTATCAAGAACTAAGCTTACAACTCTTGAGGTTATACAAATTGAAAATGTTACATTTTAGAAGAGTCTTATGGGTTCTGCAGCTCCTACGCTACCAGCAGTAGACATATCAATTATGAGAAGGGGACCTACACTAGCTCTAGAACAACAAACTACTCTATCAAGAACTAAGCTTACAACTCTTGAGGTTATACAAATTGAAAATGTTACATTTTAGAAGAGTCTTATGGGTTCTGCAACTCCTACGCTACCAGCAGTAGACATCGATTATGACAAGGGGACCTACACTTACTCTAGAATAGCAAACTACTCTATCAAGAACCAATCTTTCAACTCTTGAGGTCATACAAACCGAAAATGTTACATTTTAGAAGAGTCTTATGGATTCTGCAACTCCTACACTACCAGCAGTAGACATATCGACTATGAGAAGGGGACCTACACTTACTCTAGAACAGCAAACTACTCTATGTACTGAAGTCACCGACCAATATATTATAGATAGTCTCGGTTGCACTGATAAAGCAGGGCCAGTGATGCACAATGATGTTTTGTTAGCTGTTAAAGATTTCATCCACACTGGAAAATTATATAGAGACATCAATTGCGCTAATATGACATTAACCTCCTTCATTATAATCTTCAAATATTATAACCATGTATTTAATATTTGGGATAAACATGATGAATGACGACTAAGTAAATTCTCAACAAAAATTAAGAAAGATAATCAGCAATGTTTGGTGTTACTTACATATGTGCTCTTAGACTTCAGATCCACAAACTCATCGTTTCTTTTGGTATGTGTCTTCTTCAAAAGTTCATGTGGATGAGGTGGCCGTCCTAGAACAGTTGCCTAAAATTGAAATCACATCCATCAAAGTTATTGCTAGAGGAATAACGTTGAAAAAACTGTAACTTGACAAAATGAAAATAATTGTACCAGTTTTCTTGCATGCTCTCGGTGAGTCCGGGAGCCTCCAGTATGGCGCGAGGGACCAGATCCTTCACCACATTTCTCACTTGGTCGATTTTTGGAACATTGTGCAGATTTAGCCTTAAAATTCTCAGTATCATAGTGAGGCTTCCAGCTCTCCCAAATAGATTTTGGGATATTTTTTCGTTTCTCCTCAGAGGATCTTGCTTCACATAACATACCCTTGTATTGTATTGAACATTTTTTCATAAAATGATCCTTTATGGAACCTTCAGTTGTCATATTCCAATGGAATC